ACAGGGATGGTGGGGGTGGGTGGGTGGCATGTCTCGGTTTGGTCAAAAGTCGGGTGGGGGAACTCCTCCCAGAGGGAAATAAGGGGGGTTGGAAGAGGAAACGCTCCAAACCGTTCGCGCCCTCAAGGGCTGGTGGGCCTGTTGCGTTTCGGTTGCGCGCGCTCTTCGCCGTTTGTTTGGTTGTCTGGCTGGCTGGCTGGTCGGCTGCTGGCCGGCCTGCTGGCTGGCTGGTTGGCTGGCAGGTCGTCTGGCTGGCTGCTTGGCTAGTTGGCCTGTTTGCTGGCTGGTCGGTTGGCTGGCTGGCTGGTTGGCTGGCTGGTCGACTGGCTGGTTGGCTGGCTGGTTCGCTGGTTGGCTGGCTGGTTGGCTGGCTGGTTGGCATGCTGGCAGGTTGGTTGGCTGGCTGGCTGGCTTGTTGGCGGGCTGCTGCCTGGTTGGCTGACCGGTTGGCTGGCTGGTTGGCTGCCCACGAGCCGCGGTTGCCCGAACATTTACGAAACATCCAGGACGCATCTGCGACACATCTACGAAACATCTACGAATCATCTACGAACCATCTACGCGCGCAAAAACACCTACGAAACATCTACGAAACATCTACGAAACATCTCTGGTGCATTTCCGGGGGGTCGAAAACGACGCGGTCGCATGTGCCGAAACCGTGGTCGCGCGAGCCCGATTCCGTTCACGGGCCGAACCTCGCCTGAAGTGTTGTGAATTTCAATGCACAAGCGAGGTGGTCGCGCGAGCCCGAATCCGCTCGCGGGGCGAACCTCGCCGGCAAAACATTTACAAACATCTACGAAACATCGACGAAACATTTACGCCCACAAAAACATATACGAAACATCTACGAAACATCTACGCACGCAAAAAACATCTACGACACATCTACGAAACATCTCGCCCCGTTCCCGCGGGTAAGCCACGTCCCATGGGCTCGTCGCCATGGCTGGATTCCTGAGTGCGACTACGGGTCGGCGCTGGCGGTCCGCGATCACCGGCATCGGGGGCTTGGAGCCGCGCGCGGGGGGGGGCGGGGTCGATGTGGGGGGCTAATCAAGTCGCATGGCTTTGTGCGCGGTGTTTCCGCGGGGGGCAGGTCCAGGTTGACGTCGCGGGCATCGCAGCGCTGGCCGCTGCGTCGGGCGATTCTTCCATGAGTGGACCGAGCGCAGCATTCGAAGCAAAACGCAACTCAAGAAAGGCATCATACTGGGCAGAGTGTCCTGGAGTGCGCCCGAGCGTCGGCCAGGGCCCCCTGGGCTGGTTTTGGGGCGGTCGTTTCGATTATTCTTTGGACGTTCTTCCCCAGGCCATAAGTAGCGGCCTCTACATCCCAGAAGGCCACGCGAGGCCTCAGGAGGCTTCAGGAGGCCCCAGGAAGCCTCAATCACCAGGAGGCCCCAGGAGGCCCCACCGGCCACACGAGGCTCCAGGAGGCCCACCGAAACCCCAGGAGGCCCAAGGAGGCCGCAGGCCCATGCGCACGGACTCACTCGTACTAGTCGCCTCACTCCCAGTCTATCAATACTCAAGCCCGTTTGTATTTCGAATCTTTTGCGCCTAGACACTTACGGCGGAAAGGTCCACGCAAAGATATGCACATCTTGGGAGCTCCACGCAGTGAATAATGGTTACTCCGCCCGCGCCGGGAACCCACCCACTCACCTCCCTTCTCCTCTTCCTCCTCCTGATACTCCTCCTCCTAATCGTCCTCCTCCACCCCAGATGATGATGGTGATGATCGTGATGATGATGTTCATGGTGGGGTCCGTGCTCAGGTAATGATATGATGGCGATGATGACGATGACGATGATGGTGAGGATGATGGTTGAGTGGTGGTGGTGCTGATGGTGATGATGATGATGCGGATGCTGATGATGATGATGATAATGATGGCGATGCTGGTGCTGATGCTGATGCTGCTGATGATGATGACGATGATGCTGATGATGATGGGTTCCGTGATCAGGTTATGATATGATGGTGATGATGACGATGAGGGTGACGATGCCGATGATGGTGATGATGATGGTGGTAGTGGTGGTGGTGCTGATGATGATGATCATGAGTCTGATCATGATCATGATAATTATGATGACGATGCTGATGCTGATGCTGATGCTGGTGCTGGAACTGATGCTGCTGATGATGATTATTATTATGATGATGATGATGGGGTCCATGCTCAGGGCATGATATGATGGTGATGATGACGACGATCATGACGATGACGATGATGATGATGATAGTGATGATGATGCTGGTAGTGGCGGTGGTGCTGATGGTGATGATGATGAGGATGATGAATATGATGGTTGTAATGATGCTGATGATGACGATGCTGATGCTGATGATGATGCTGATGCTGATGATGCCGATGATGATGCTGTTGCAATGATGCTGCTGCTGCTGTGATGATGATGATGATTTTGATGATGACGATGCTGATGTTGATGATGCTGATGATGATGATGATGATGGTGATGATGATGATGATGATGACGACGCTGATGGCGACGGAACATATTTAGAGGATGTCTCGGGCGAAGCGCTGTTTTCAGCACTCCCAAGGGGCTCCACGCAGTGAATCATTTTGATGGGGCTGGTTGGCCTGCGCGTAGCGAGCAACATGACGGCACCCCCGCCGTCCTTAAACAAAAACAGCAAAACAATGCAAAGTGGTCGCGAGGCGCCCGTGCATGCTGCAGATTTGGAGGCACAATGCATTCTGTATTTTTTTGGTTGACAGGGATGGTGGGGGTGGGTGGGTGGCATGTCTCGGTTTGGTCCAAAGTCGGGTGGGGGAACTCCTCCCAGAGGGAAATAAGGGGGGTTGGAAGAGGAAGCGCTCCAAACCGTTCGCGCCCTCAAGGGCTGGTGGGCCTGTTGCGTTTCGGTTGCGCGCGCTCTTCGCCGTTTGTTTGGTTGTCTGGCTGGTTGGCTGATCGGCTGCTGGCCGGCTTGCTGGCTGGCTGGTTGGCTGGCAGGTCGTCTGGCTGGCTGCTTGGCTGGTTGGCCTGTTTGCTGGCTGGTCGGTTGGCTGGCTGGCTGGTTGGCTGGCTGGTCGACTGGCTGGTTGGCTGGCTGGTTCGCTGGTTGGCTGGCTGGTTGGCTGGCTGGTTGGCATGCTGGCAGGTTGGTTGGCTGGCCAGCTGGCTTGTTGGCAGGCTGCTGCCTGGTTGGCTGACCGGTTGGCTGGCTGGTTGGCTGGCTGGCTGGTTGGTTGCCTGGCTGGCTGGTTGGCAGGCTTTTGGCTGGCTGGTCGGCTGGCTGGTTGGCTGGCTGGCTGGCTAGTTGACTTATTGGTGGGCTGGCTGGTGTAAATCACGAGAGAGAGAGAGAGAAAAGAGAGAGAGAGAGAGAAACAAAAAAAGAAAAAAGAAGACAATCGTAATCATTGTTCGGGTGGCGCTGGCCCACTGCTGTCTGCTGGCTGGTCGGCTGGCTAGCTGGCTGGCTGGTTGGCTCGTTTGTTGGTTGGCTGCTTGCTGGCTTGTTTGCTGGCTTCTGACTGGCTAGCTGGCTGGCTAAATGGCTTTCTGACTGGCTGGCTGGCTCGTTGCCTTCCTGATGGACTGGCTGGTGGGTGGTTGGTTGACTAGCTGGCTGGCCAGCTGGCTTGTTGGCAGCCTGGTTATTCGCTGGTTTGCTGGTTGGTTCACCAGTTGGCTGTATGGTAGGCTGTCTGGGCTTTGCCCGCCTCTGGGCGCGTGAGGCCCCGCCTTCTTCCGCCCTTTCTCTGCCAATTAAATCTGTGCGCGTCCTGCCTAGCTTTTAGCGGAAGAGGTTCGCTCTCGCCCTGCAGATCAAAAACTGTATGGTTGGCTGTCTGGGTGGCACATTGTGGGGCTTGGTGGACGTAAGCACGAGGGATAATAATTCACGGTTCGGAGCGCGCGCATCCCCTCGCGCGAGACATCTTGTTTTGCCCGCGCCCAGGGTTTCAACATTTCAGAATTGATTGTTGCATCTCGGTTGCGTGCGCCCTTCGTCGTTTGGTTGGCAGGTTGGCTTGCTGGCAGGCTGGTTTGCTGGCTGGCTGGTTGGTTGGTTGGCCTGTTGGTTGGCTAGTTGGCTGGCTGGTTGTATCCTGATTGGCTGGCTGGTGGCTGGCTGGTTGGCTGGCTCGCCGGTTGCCAGACTTGCTGGCTGTTTGGTTTATTGGCTGGCTGGCTGGTCGGCTGGCTAGCTGGCTGGCCGGTTAGCTGGTTGGTGGCGGCTGATTTTCTGGTTGGCTTGTTAGCTAGCCGATTGGCTGGCTGGCTGGCCGCTAGCTGAATGGCTGGCTGATTGGCTTGCTGGTTGGCTGGTTGGCTGGTTGGCTGGTTGGCTGACTGGTTGCGCCAGCCAACTAGGAGGCCTGCCAACCAGTAGCCAACCAGCCTTACAAACAGCCATTAAGCCGACCAGCCAGCCAACTAGCCAACCAGCCAGCTCACCACCACTGTGCGCCTAAGTGGCCCAGGTTGGTTTCTGGTTGGATCTTGGTTGGTATTCGGCCACAACCGGTGTAAAAACCGCGCTCGATTTAGAAATTTGTTGTGGCCACATTCTGGTTGAGTCTTGATTGTGATTTGATTGGTTTTCGGATGACTTTGTGTTGAACTGTCTTAAGCCCCCCCTCCAAATGCCCATCTCCGAAACGGTGCCATCTGTTCGAGGCCATCGGTGGGGCCCCCGACCAGAGCGGGCCGCGCGAGTTTGCTTTGCCTGCGCTGCTCCCTGCTTAGCCACGCGAGTGCTCGCTCACCGCAGGCATTCAGAGGCTAAGCACCGTTACTCGTGGTGAGGCGCCAATCGGACAGAGGTCCCACCAGTTGTAGAAGAGGTAGTCCGAAGTCCATCAACACGACCAGGTTGCACCAGACCCTCCCCCTGGGCGAGGGATTTCTCATCCAGTTCGAGCACTTTACGCCTGAATGGTTGGATTTCGCATCGCTTCTTGTACAAGTGTGTCCGGGAGGCTCTGGACCGAGCCAGCGCCTGACCAGCTGCCTACTATCAGCCGTGAGACACCGTGCGATGTGGGGCCTGCGGCGCGCGTTCGCGTCGCTGCTCGGCGTGACTGCCGCCCTGTCGGCTCAGCGCGCCGAAGGACAGACTCTTAGAAGCCCGGATCGCGTGTTCGGCCGGGTCTCGGCCACGTGCTCGGCACGTGCTCAGCGTTCCCAGGCCGTGCTCGGCGGCCTTCTTCAGTGCTCGGGCGGCGTTTACCCACCTGAGCTCGGCGCGATCGGGCCTTGCCAGTGCCACAGCTCGCGGTCATGATCATCGTGATCGGTGTTCGGATCGTCTCCTAAGGACACGCATGCAACAGCACAGACTTTCAGACGCCCCTGGTGCCCTACCTGATCGTGGACGTGTCGAGCGATGTATCCGCCTGCAGGGGCAGGTCGTGCGCCGTCGGCGTCCTCCTGGCGAACGCCCTCCTCGAGGCCTGCCAGGAGTGCGACCTGGTGATTCTGCCAGCCAGCGCTCTGTCGTCCGAGGTGGTGAGGCGCTAATTCGGCCCCAAGTTCCCCAGAGAGGCGTCCGAAGCCGCACAAATTGTGTTCAAACTTGTCCGACCTCCGATGGGAGGTCGGACAAGTTTGGGTAACAAATTGTCGGAATTTGCCGACGGCCGCCCGCGCCCCGCTCGAGTGTTCCTGACTCAGTCCGACTGTTTGTGACCCAGGGTTGTTGGATTCTGGACCGCTCTTTGTACAACTGGTGGGATTTCGGACCCCGGTCCGGAGGACTCGGGGCCGACTTTCAAGCAGTGGCGAAGCGTCCTGGCTCGCCTATAGCCCTACCAAACAATGTTCTAAGAACCGTTTGTGAGTTCCACGAAATGTTCTCAGAGCATTTCTGGTTGAGATGGTCTTGTTTTCACACATCGGGTGTCTGTTCTAAGACCATTGTTTTTGCCCTCAGAACATCTTCGGGTTCTGAGAACATGTCGTGGTAGGACTACAGGAATGCCGGGACGGCCGGTCCCTGCTCCAGACTTGGCGCCTCACCGATCCGAGGTCCTGGGCTACGAGCGAGCGCTCTGGGCCGGCGGCCGCGTGGCGCCCGGGCACGTGCACGGGTTGCTGGGCGCCGCCGGCCAGTTCCAGGCCGCTCGCGTCGGCAAGAGCGCCGTGGAGGCCTACTTCAACGCGTCGGTCGCGTCCCCTGGCCAGGGATTCCCGCAGCTGTCGCAGAACGTTCAGGTCCGTGTGGACACGAATGGCGGGGTCCCCAGCATCTCCTCGAGGTGGCGGGACAAGCGCGAGGGCTGTTCCTCCTTCTCAGACCTGCCCGAGTCGCTGGTGGTGGGTGCGCCTGCGGGGCTGCTGGCGGGCGAGGTGGTGGTGCCCGCCGAAGACTCATTGGCAGCCGCAGCTTGCAGCGGCCTGGCTCGCCTCGGCAGCGCGTGGGACTTGCCGGCTGACGAAGTCCTTGAGGCCGTCTGCGGCTCCCATGAGAGTGCGGTGGAGGAGGCTGCCCCGTTCTGCCCCGTGGCCTTCTCTGCGCGCACAGCGCCCTGCTTCTCGTTCAGGCTGCTGTACACTGGATCCATCTTGGGCCGGTCGCTGCCAACCCGCCCAGATGGCTCAGCAGACGAGGCGTGCTACAACGCGTCGACGGGCGTTGTCGCCGACGAATGTTGGGGCGGTGCGGAGAGGAGAGGAAAGTATCTGCGGGCTGTGCACAATCGGTCAAACGGAAGCGTGGTCATCTTGGATGGTGGGAACTACTACCGGCGGGGCGATTTCGAAGAGTCCCACGAAGGTGTCGCAGAGGGCCACCTGATGAGCATGCAGCCGTACACCGCCATGGGATTGAGTTACAAAGATTTTCAATCGCAGAAGAGCGCGAGAAACGTGAAGAATTTGTTCGAGTCCTATTCGCGTCCCGTGTTGCTATCGAATGTGAGGACCGCGTCGGATTGGGCATACCTCGAGAACTTGACGTCGAAGTTCCATGTCGAATCGTTGGCAGGGGGGCAGAGAATTGGGATAGTTTCGGTGCTGTCTTCGTTGCTCACTGAATTTACCCTTGTTCAGGACCAATGGGACTTCAACCCAGCAGGATTCGATGACTCGTTCTTCATGGAGGAGCAGCTGATGCTGATGAACACCATCTCCGTGGTGAACGAGATGAAGAGGCTGCACAATCCAGACATCGTTGTGGCCATGATGGATTTGGACGCTCGCCAGGCTGCCACCTTCCTGCAGAACGTTGGCAACGTCGACGCGGCGATTGTGACTAATGACGTGCCCTGGGAGATCGCGGAGCAGGTTTATGGCCCGCTGGAAGACTCAGAGTGGTCTGTCGATCAGCTCAGCGTTGAGAGCAAAGTCGTTCCGGGCAAGCGCATTCCGGTGCTGGGCGTCCCGTGGTACGGGGCGCACGTCGGTTCTGCCATCCTTGATGTTGACGCGGACAGGGATGTGATCAGATGGCGTGCCGCCGCTGTCCCCATGGACAACAGTTCGGCTGCAGAAGAAGATCCGCACTCATGGGCTGGCGACATCAACGTCGAAGTGCACCGCTACTTTCAGGAGTCACAGGCTCTCCTGGGGGAGACTGTCATCACCATGCCGCAACCGCTCGAGTGGCTGAAGCTGCAGTGCCGACAATTGGATTGTCCTATGCAGCGCCTCTATGCCGATGCGGCCTACCATTCATGCGGCGGGAAGTGCGACCTCGCGTTCCTGAACGCCGGGGCTATACGCTCGGGATTCTCGGGGGAGATCTCTATGGTGGAGATCGTCCAGATGCTGCCATATGGTGGTGATTTCGTCGTGAAGCAGATGAACGGCTCCGACCTAAAGTCGGCGTTGGCACACGGCGCGACGCAATGCTCTGGTGGCGGCTATCCGGCTTTTGCTGGCCTACGCCTCGCTCGATCAGTGGAGACCCCCGTGGATTCCACAAGCGCAGATCTTTGCGTGGCACCCACGATAGTGGATCCAACAGCAACTGGTAGTGGCAGCTACGTCAGCTCGCAGGTTTGCAAGAGAGGTGCCTACTCCTACAGCGACTGCTCCGAGTGGATCAGCATCGAGAACGGCCAACAGTACACCGTCGTCACATCCAATTGGCTGGCCGCGGGTGGGGATGGCTATCAGGCGTTAGGAGCAGCGGAGGAGCTTACCACCATCAGTCCGCGCGACGCGCGTGCCGCGATCAGGGAATTTCTGCTTACAGAGGCCGAGGACCACCTATCCGCGTATTGGAGTTTGCAGACGACCATTGACAAGTGCACGGGCAACACGGAGAAGGAGGGCTGGAGCGAGGGCTGCCGCGTCATAGACACGTCCGCCGAGGCCGATGCCGACTTCTCGGGCCTTTGCAGCCCGGGCTTCCGGTTCGATAGCCAGCTGAAGGAGTGCTTCGAGTGCCCTGCTGGCAAGGAGTCCTCCTACGATTCCCAGCTGTGCCTGGATTGCACCGTCGGGCGGGCGGCAGCCGAGAGCGGGATGTCGCTGTGCACGGAGTGCGCTCCCGGCACTTTTCAGAACATCTCCGGCCAGCTCTCCTGCATCGCTTGCGAGGCTGGCAGATTCGCAGGGGAACCCGCCAGCGCGACGTGTCAAGACTGTCCAGCGGGCCGCTGGTCAGATGGCAGCGGCGATGGAGATGATGAAGATGACGGGTCTGGTGGCGCAGGCTCCGAGAAGTGCACCGTGTGCCCCGTGGGAGAGTACCAGGACTCAGCGAGCGAAGAACGGTATAAAATTAACTTTTTCGCCGTCGGGGGCGCCTGCCCCTGGGCGGCTGGAAAGTTTATACCCCTACGGTGCCACCGTGAGGGTATAAACTTTCTAGCCGCCCAGGGGCAGGCGCCCCCCGACGGCGAACAAGTTTGTGTTATACCGTTCTTCGCCCGTTAAAGGACGAGGAGGGAGCGGCCTCGTGCAAGAAGTGCGACGACATCATCCTCGAGAGCACCACGATCCTGCTGGGCGCGGCAACGGCCGACAGGTGCCTCTGCCCTCCGGACTTCTTCTTCGCGCGCGCCGCGGCGGGCGCCGCGGCGGAGTGCAGGGCGTGCCCGGAGGGCCTGCTGTGCGACGACTTCGGCATCGACCCGCCCAAGCAGGCGATGAGTGGACCCAAAGATTCCGATGCCGCTACTCTTAAGTCGGGCCTGTCCCTCTACAGGGGGAATCTTCAAACATGGTAAGACGACAATAGTGTGGGGACCATTTTTTGAGTATTTTTGGGCATCCTTTGATTATTTGTTGGGTATCTTTTTTATTTTTCGTCCAAAATCCCCCTGTCAGGCCCGACCTGATGCTACTCCCCGGACCTCTCCTGGGGTGCGTTCTCTATCCAGGATCTCGAGGCGAAGCCAGCCGTGGCGGCGAGGCCTCTCCGTGGCGAGCAGCGGCATCCTTACCTTTTTCGTCCGCCGAGGCGGAGGGCTTCCACGCGGGGCCGCAGGCGTACGAGGAAGTCGTGTTCTCGCTAAGGGGGTGTTTGTTGTGCTAAATGGGCTCTCGGTGTGCCTGGTTCTGCTGCCGCATCCGCCCGCCCATCTGTCCCCCCTGGTCTTTCGTCCTGTCCTCATTCTCCTTTTTTCCCTTCCTGCCCTTCGCCGCGCTCTTGCCCAGGACTTCTTCAAAACACTCAAGCATGACACCCCCGCCTGCGACGTCCCCACGATTAACCCACGCATTTTGAAATCGTCGCCAGATATATCCTTTCTCGGGCCAGCGGCGCCTGGACCCCTTCTAACAGAATCCGATAAGCTATGCCATGCCATGTGCAGGATATGGAAGGCTATGGAAAGTCATCGGCCGCGCAGCTCCAGAAGCCAAATGCGCTTCGGACGAAACTGTTTCTCGTAGATCGTTTCCCGAAGCGGCCGAGGATTTCACGTTCCCCGAGGTCGAGCTCGAAAGTCCCACGAATCTCCTTCCAGGGGTCAGTGAAGGTTTCGAACTCCAGCTGGATGATCCCAGGGCGTCTCTTCCAGGGGTCGATGCCAGCGTCGAACTCCTCGCAGATCCGAGTCGGGCTTCGGGCGTAGTGTGCCATTCCGAACTGCTTGGTGACGATCTCGGTGTTTCTCGTTTCAGGTCAGGCCCCCCCGATGGACGGTGACGGTCATTGTCACGAACGCCCACCGGGGGGCGCTCTCCCCAGCTCGGGGCCTGGGCCACGCCTGCGGGGTCCACGGCCGACCCCGCCAGCTCAAGCACGACAGCCTCCTCCAGGTGCTCGGTCTTATCAGGCAGCGCGAGGGTGGTGCCGCGGTAGCCGGCGTTCGGGAGGCTCCGGGAAATGGTCTCCCACCACTTGGGCGTCGTCACGTTGACCGCCAGGTGTCCGCTCGGCATCTTCCGGCACTCGAATAGGTGCGGCGAGGCCTTGGGGAGCATGAGGTAGCCGTTCCCGCAGTCGATCAGGGTACTCGTCCGATCGGGCCCCAGCAAGTCCATGCCGATCAACAGCAGCACCTCACCGTGTTATCCCTGGTCGAGAGCTCGACGGTCTCCTTGCCGTCTCCCAGAAAAATGTCGCCGACCAGGGTGCCCACGGAGCTCTTGCGCTGTCCGTCGCCGAGCGTGAAGTATCTGGTCGTCTCCTTGAGGTCGAGCTCGAGCCCGAACTTCTCCTCCATGACGTAGAGGAGGAGGAGGAGGAGGAGGAGGAGGAGGAGGACGAGGAGGAGGACGACGAGGAGGAGGAGGAGGAGGGGGACGACGAGGAGGAGGACCCGCTGAGGCTCCGGGTGGCCCCGCAGTCCGGGACCGCCCAGATGCTGCCCACGTCGTTCAGAAGCAGGACCAGATCGCCGAGCTCGAGGAGGGCGAACGACGTCGCAGCGTCCTGCGAGCCCTGGCCACGGGCCTTGCCACGCTCCGGGCAGTCCTCCGCCGGGTGTCCGTAGCTCCGGCAGGCGAGGCACCTCATCTCGGCGTCACCCCAAGATACTTGTACTATGTGTGCGTCGCCCCCTCAGGTTCGACGTGCGCACCGAGAAATCTTATGGTATATGCGTCGTGGCGGGCGCTTTCTGGCCACACCGCTCGGGAAACGATGTACTACAAGATGGGTATACTGTATGTTTGGGTCGGACGCGCGGCTCCAAGGAGAACATATAGTACTAGTATATCCTTGCGCGTCCCATCATCCTGCGCTCGTCGCGCACGGGCTCCGGAGCCCCACCTGGCCGAGGTGGCCGGTGAGAATCGCGAGGCCGACGAGGACGCTGGACACGAGCGTCGGGGGTTCGAGGCTCCAGCACGGGATACGTAAGTGGTCGCGAGCAGCCTCCTCCGAGTCAGGTCGCGGGCGTCCTTGGAAGTTGCGAGACCCACTCCGCACGGGCTCCGTCCTGGAGATCTCCAGGGTCTTCGGCGTCGCCGAGCAGGACCTCGTCCTCGTCGGCGAGGTTCCCCAGCTGGTCCACGAGGTCGGCGAGCCCCGAGCGCTCCTCCTCCTGGCAGCCCGTCGCCATCGTACTCGTCGGTCTCCCCGGATGACCCCGCACGCTTGTCTTTCCGCTCCTTGGTCCCGTCCAGCTCCCTCAAAGCCTCCAACGGGTACCGTGTGCAGAGCGCCTTGTACGTACGGTCAAACTCACAGTCCCCACCTGCTGTCGCTGTGATTTCACCACGGGCAAGGAGCGACGGGCGCGAGCGGCGCAGGTACCACCAAGTTCGCAGCGGTCCTGCGATGACCTCCTTCACCGAGCTGTCCACTGCAGCTGAGCGAGGAGGTCCCGCGGATGGGCTTCCCAGCGCGCCGTCCAGTCGGGAATGCCCTCTCCCGCGCTCCGCTGGAGCTTGTTGAAGAACTTCTCCGCTGAGCTTCCCATCTCGTTGACGTTGGACAGGTCCAACTTGGACAGGAGGAACTCAAAGGCGCGCGTCCAGTTTGCCAGCTTCCCATCCTCGACTTCGTCGATCTGGTCAATGTCTGGACAGTTCTGAGCAAGCCTCGGCGTCCTGGCCCCTGGAGCTCGAACGAGCTGAGGCCCAGCTACATATCTATCCTGGAGCTTGTAGCTCTTGCTGAAGAGCACCACGTCGAATCTGTACGCCAGCTACTTGTCTGGCTCACCATCCCAGGTCGGCACGTCTTGTCTCAGCCCACGTGTGGAAGCTCCAGGTCCTGAAGATGACGCGATCGTCATCTTGCCGTGGTCTCTTAACCAAGGCTCTCGCTACCGATATGAATACAACAGGGCTCAGGTGAGCCCGATCACACTCTACTCGTAGACGTTGCGGTTGTCGAAGTCAACTGAATAAGAAAAAAGATGTGAGAGCACCTCTTTTGCTCTACTGAAGGTGTCCACGCTGCCCGCTCCAGCGTGCCCAGCCTGTCTCACAGGCTGCGTACTGATAAACCCGCCCGCCCGTCCTCGCTAGCCCAACTGGCTGCGAGAGAGGGAGGGCTGCTGCGCCAAGAGGCCGTATATCTCGGACCTCCGCAATCAAATTTTTGGACCGTTTTGGTGGCTTCTTGGGCGGACTTGGAGGCATCGTGGAGGCATCTTGGGCCGTCTTGCAGGCATCTTGGAGGCAACTTGGGCCATCTTGGAGGCCATCTGGGGCCAACGTGGCCATCCTGGAGGCCATCTTGGGCCGTCTTGGGCCATCTTGGACAATTGTTTTGGGACGTTTAGGTCGTTTCCGGGCCTTCCGCGGGGCTGGCGGGACGGGCCGAAGTCCCAGGGAGAGTTCTTGTGGAAAAGAGCCAAAACCAAGAGCGACAGGATTTGGCACGTCGGGCCCCCCTGTGGCAGGCCAACAGGGGGCGGCGGATCGAAGACGCCGACGGCGAATCACCGCCGCCCCCTGCCTTATTGAAAGTGCCTATGTGGCCGAACGTTGAGGCCAGATCTGCCAAGCTATCGGACCATGTGTTCCCCGAATCGGTTTGGAAAGCCTTCGGGGAACACGTGGGCATCTTGAAGGTCCTCTACGCCGTCTGGAGGTCATTTTGACCCTTTCGGGCATTCTTGGAGGACGTCTTGGAGGGTTCTTGGGCCGTCTTCGAGGCCATCTTAAGCGTCTTGGAGGCCTCTTGGGCCGTCTTGGGGGCCTCTTGGAGCCGTCTTGGGGGCCTCTTGGGCGATCTTTGAGGGCTCTTGGGTCGTCTCGGGCCGTCGGAAGGCCGAACAAAAAACAAACGCCACAATCCTTCAAAAACTAATGGGAAATCAATGATTTTGGCCTTTTCCGGCCTTCCTGGAGGCCCTCTTGGAGGCCTCTTGGGCCGTCTTGGGCCATCTTAGGGCCATCTTCGGCCGTCTTGGTGGGCTCCTGGCCCGTCTGACGCCCCCAAAGCCGTTTGGGGGGCCTTTCTGGGCCGATTCGGGGCCCTCTTGGGGTGCTCCAGGGCCGTCTTGGAGGCCATCTTGGGCGTCTTAAAGGCCTCCTGGGCCGTCTTGGGGGCCTCTTGGGGCCGTCTTGGGGGCCTCTTGGGCCGTTCTGGGGCCATCTTGGAGGTCTCTTGGGCGATCTTTGGGCGATCTTTGGGGGCTCTTGGGCTGTCTTGGTCCGTCGGAAGGCCGAAAAGAAGCAAATGTCAAAATCCTTCAAAACCCTTACGACAAATAATGCTTTTGGCCTTTTCTGGCTTTCCTGGAGGCCCTCTTGGAGGCCTCTTGGGCCGTCTTGGGCCAGCTTCGAGCCATCTTCGGCAGTCTTGGTGGGTTCCTGGCACGTCTGACGCCGTCGGGAGCCGTCTTGGGGGCCTCTTTGAACCGACTTGGGGTCCTCTTGCGGCGCTTCGGGGCCGTCTTGGAGGCCATCTTGGGTGTCTTGGACGTCTCTTGGGCCGTTTTTGGGCCCTCTTGAGGCCGTCTTGGGGGCCTCTTGGGCCGTCATGGGGCCCTCTTGGAGGCCCCGTGGGCGATCTTGGGGCGATCTTGGCGGCCTCTTGGGCCGTCTTGAGCCGTCGGAATGCCGAGAAAAGGCAAATGCCAAAATCCTTCAGAACCTCAGGAAAATCTATAATTTCGGCCTCTTCGGGCCCTCCTGAAGCACCTCTTGGGGGCCTCTTGGGCCGTATTGAGGCCTCTTGGGCCGTCTTGGGCCATCTTGAGGCCATCTTACGCCATCTTGGGTACATCTTGGGCCGTCTTGGAGGCATCTTGGGGCCATTCTAGCCGTCTTGGAGGCCATCTTGGCCGTCTGGGATGCATCTTGGAGGCCATCTTGGGCCGCCGTGGAGCCGTCTGGAACAGGAAAAACCCTTTGGAGCCGGGTCCGGGCAACTTTTCGGCATCCTTTCGGGTGGCCGGCGGGGCGCGCCAGAGCCCCAGGGGGAGTTCTTTTGGAAAAAGAACCAACATCAAAAACGATAGGATTCAGCACGCTAGGCACCCCTGTGATGAATCAACAGGGGGCGGCGGATCGAATGGCCATCGGCCCATCCCGCCACCGTGCCTGGGTTGTGGGTCAGAGTTCTCAGGGATGCTTCTTGGGGTCTCTTTG